GAACAATAAATCAAACGTAGCGGTAAATATATATATTGGTGTTTGTAATGTTATCTTTGTCGTCTTCAATGAAATGCATTGTTTGTGTTACTTCTCTGCAAAGAAAAACTAAACTGTTGCAGTCAGTTCTAATTAGACCTTCACCATACGTGACTGACTGTTTAAACAATGAGCAGGGAAGGTGTTTGTTTAATTTATAGTTTTGTAACACACTTGGTAACTTTATGGTGAATAGTGGAGGATAGAAAATGTGAACGCAGGTTAGGAAGACTGTTTAATGACAAGTGCACCGCTTGTAAACCTGCTGTGCGACTTGGTATAGTGTGGCTTTGATTAGCTTAGCTTCATGATTGCTAACAGCTAAATTAACAAGCCCCGCTCCACCCGCTGGTGTTCGGCAGGTACACTTTCATACAGTTCCCTAGGCAGGGCGCCTTTACTGACGTAATGCAAGTGCACACGTGCACACACACACACTTTTTTTGTACCAAGAGATACTGTAAATGTTCTTTGAGAAGCCCTGAAAAATGAGGGGAAAAGCTGTATACTTTGTAAATAAACGTTCAAGTTTAGGGATGTACGATATTGGATTTTTGTCCAATAACCGATATTTTATATACGTTCCTTTGTCAGAACACAATCCTCTTATTTAGGCTTATTTGCTACAAAAATTGTGCAACAGCTGTAAGAGCTGGTGACATATATTCAGTAACAGCCATATGACATGCATAGTACTTTAACTTCTATTAAATGAAGTGTTAAATGTTATTTATTAGCACCAGTCACCTGCCTCACTTGTGGAGGCTTGTTCCAGGTTACTAGCTGCAGTGTGGGATCCTCACCCAACAAGTCGTGCTATCGGCTATTATCTTCTCAATGACGTCGGAAATGACGGCTTGTAACTTGGGTAAGGTTACGATGGAAAAATATCTCCGACTGGGGACGATGCAGCAAGGCTCAACGTGGAGCAAAAATCTTTGGAATCTGACATCCTCAATGAAAAAATGTACACGCTGTCGATATTTTGAATTTTCTTCTCTGCCATGAGCTCAGGTAGGTGCGCGTGACGTCATCACACTGTGCTGCCGCTGCAGGCACGCTTGTCACTGGGTTGTCATACAAAAACAGCCCCTTCTATAACAGCGAGTTATTTGGATGGAATGGTCGATGTCTGTGATATTGAACTTTAACACTAATATCTGCCGATACTGATACCATGCTGATAATATTGTGTTTCCCTATTCAAGTTATAAATGTATTTTTATGTATTTAAATGTACTTTTTATATTATTATCATTCATCCAATAATAGATTTATTGTCGTTATTAAAAGTAAAATAAGAATTTGAAGTATTTGCCTTACTAACCAAAAGCTTAATAGAAACACTGGAATAGAAGAATTTTGCCGTATTTTTGTTCAAAATTGTTAATAATGATCAAACTATATTTTACTATTTAATTGTTGAAATTTGTTAACCATATAATAATACACTTCATGTGAACAACATGTGGTTTACATTATAAACCATGAAATTCAGAAAACTTAAAACATGAAAAAATGAATTTAGGGAACAACAAAATAATAATTTGATGATAAAAATAAAAGCCTAACGTTAGTTCGGACTTCAGTTTGATATTTCAGGTGTGGACATCTTTAATTCCTTTGACTTCCTCAGAACACTTTCAAAATGTTTGACTTGGTGGATATAAGAAAAGAATCAGTAAAATATCTTACTGTAAGACTTATGAAATAACAGCGGGGTAAGAGAACCACGCATTGTTCTTACTCATAACATTACAACACGTTAGTCATCGGCCACTCCGATGACACAGAGCTGAGAGCAGATTATACAAGAGTTTGGCTGCTGCCACCACCAGACTGAACAACAGGTCACGCAGACGAATGCTACATTTAACAATTCTTTAACACGTGCGAAACAACATCAGCTGACCCAGTGCAGCCACGACAAGGGGATTATAAGTCTGCAAAAACAGTTTTACTTTTTTAATGTACCAAGTTGTTTCACTACCGGTGGCGGCAACAGATTATTTCAAGGACCTTTAGTGTGAAACAGTTTCACAGAGTTTTTTAGACATAAACTTTTTTCCCTGCTGTGAAAATAAGATTAATTGTGTCATAACTATTAGGAGTGCTTGTTTTACTTTACGCCTAGATTATTTTCATTTCCTCTCTAGAGTATTTAATACTTTAATTGTTATTGTATGCATTGCAGAAGATTCATTGTTAATCTGAGCTGCCACTGTGTGCTGTTCATCTTAAGGATTACTGTAGCTTCTTGTTGGAGAAACATCTCGCAGGAAAGTTATGGATTTTCATGTTTTATTTGCTGAATAATAAATGTTTGCAACAGATGAAGTAATTATAACTGTCTTTAGTGTTGACTCTGAAGTTTTTAATTTGTGTAATTTTAATGATGAACACGATTCTAATCTAGTTTTTCTATGGTGTTTTCTTTATATATTTAAATATATATATAAATATATAATAAATATATTTTTTTTTTTTTTTTTTAACTACAGCAAACAACAACAAAAGAGGGGAAAAAAAAACCCTAAATAAATAAATAATAGAAAATGAACAACACAAGTTTACAGGGATCAGTAGACAACATAACCATCCGTACAGCATTAAGGTTTAATTTACCTGAGACAAAGTTTAAATTGGGGTAAACATTATTTTGCGTGTATGGAAATGATTGAATCTGGGCAGTAATTCCCTCCCTGCCTCCGTGCTGAATCATTTCAGTGTGTTCAATATAAAGTTAACCTTTATGCTAATGGTCACCAGCCTGTGATCAACACGGTCTGTTGACATTATGTCGCACTATATATAGCAATATGTAAATATGTTAGAGCCTTTTTTATTAAGCGTAAAAATATATAAATCAATGTTTATATAATATAAGCTACGATCACGAGTTACATGATAATCAAAATGCATGAATAATTGTTTTATAATCGAGTCACAAACCTCTGAATCACAACTGAATCGTGAGGTTCCTAGAAGGTTTGCACTCCTAAACAACAGAACAGTAATATCAATGTACAGCTTTAACTAAACTAAAACTATTACTGCCACAGTAAAAACACAAAACAAGATTTAAAATGCAGGAACGCGTGACCAGTAAAAATACTAAAAAACAAGATTCTCGACTCAAAGAAATACATTTAAAGTTGCTGCAAGTTTGAAAATTCAGCCGCTACAGAAAAAAAAAAATCACCTTGAAATATGTGACAGCTAAAAAAAATGCTAATACATCATAAAACAGACATCAATTAGGAAGATAAATGGAAAATTATATTTAGTCTAGGATCTCCTGATACATGTATATATGTGTAGACAGAAATTAGTCTGAACGGACATGGCAGATAAAACACGTACAGAAAAAGATGTCATTAAAATATATAAATGTCATAAGTAATAAAAGGTTAGCTAGATCATACTCTAAAAACTCACTAGGAAACGTGACAACTCAGTTCTACCCCGCGCACTTTGGGAGAGTTAGTTATAATAAGAGCTCGACCGATATATTTTAGGTGGATCCAGATGTTTGGGGACATATCGGTATCGGTGATAATTGGCCCATTATGCGTCGACAGAAACACTTCTAATGTTTAGATAACTATTGCCTTGTGAAACTTTAGCCAGAACAATAAATTTAACGTAGACGTAAAATATATGAATGTTAGTAACGTTATCACTTAACCGTTTAAACAACGAACAGGGAAGGGAGCGTCTTCGTTTATATTTTTGTAACAAGTGTTAAAGCAGGTTTCAAAGCAGCTGTTTACTTGGATTCTTGGGTTTCAGCCGATATATTGATTAGCGGCACTAGTCTCCATTCCCAATATCGGGATTGACGATAGCCAAAATTTCCATATTGATCAGGCTCCATTTAAAATGGTTGCATTCCAGTCTGTGGTCAGCTGAGTCCATTTAGTTTGTGCAATTTGTGTCTCGTAATGTTTCAACTCCCTGCGCACTGAACTTTTTAAAGTTCCCAACAATTAGTACTTGAAGCAAAACTTGAACGGAGCAGAGGATCCCTGAAAAATAAGCAAAACAACAAACAATCCTCTCACATTTGCAATTGTGTTTTCATTAGTGCACAACTGAGTTAATCTCTTTAGTTAAGTTACTGCATAAGCTCTGATGTTTGTTTTAAAGGGCCAGTGTTAGTTTTTGGTTGCAGAAGGTGGCAGGTCTTGTGTTCGTCACCTTCTACTTCCTGTATCTTTTTCTCTGTTTACAGAACTCAGGTCCAAGTTTAGGGACGAAACGTGTTCAGCTGTTTTCAGTCACCGTTTCCAGGAGCAGCAAAGCTCCAATGTGGCTACTTGAGGATGAATTACGTCAAAGTTAATGGAGCCCAACGAAATAACCTGATAATTTAAGAGAAGTCTGTTGCTTCCTGTTTATAGCCCAGTTTCTACCCGCCCAGTAATTTCAGACAGCACTCGCTACTTATCAGTACTCATATAGCCATGGCTAGATCTATTTATGCAGGTGACAAAAACTTAAAATAAGGACAACAATCTGATGTATTCAGCAATCTAACTATTAGAATATGACCACTGGCTTATTGCAGATTGATGATTGTGTCAGAGTAATTTATGGGATTATATAATCCTAGCTGGGATAGCTTGTGTTGATCAGGTTTAATGCCAAAGGCTCAGGCTCTTGTGGTCAGACCTACAGGAAGAACAGCTTCCGTGTTTGTCCTAACGAAGTCTACTGAGATAAACACCTACGAATCGTAGAAATTATTCCCCCAAGACAAGTGAAAACAGTTTGATGCTCGCTCTTTAAAAATAATCTCTGTGCTAGGTGAAAGATGCTAACCTGGCAGATAGTGTTGCTAACATTAACCACCAGCTGACTGTCGGCTCCATTTGAAACCTGAAAGAGGAACCAGATGTCCAGCTCGTCCCTTTTTAAAAACGCACATTGTAGGAAACTTAAAAGACAATATAACATACCCAAGTAGATGTCTCCAAAGGATCCACTTCCAATTTTTCTGCCCAGTCTGTATCGGTTTCCGACTCGCAACTCCATGTTAAGTAATTTGTTGTAGGCTAGCAAGCGCGCTAGCTCCTAAATATTTAAATTATCTTCTGGATTTGAATCTATAACTTAAACGAGAATGATTGAACCTGAAAACTGATAGGAAAAGTCTTCAAGCGAGTATTCCGATCGTGTCGACTTTGTCTCCGGATGAAGTCAGCTCCGAGTCTTTCGCCTCTAATTTCAAAATACTCCTAACATCATATGTTAACAATACGTAGCTTGTTAGAAAGATTAAAGTGTGTACTTTTTGCTCTTGCTATTTTTAATATCGTTACGCATTAATTTTCCACGGATGAAGATGGATTTTGAGCAGCTCCTAATCGCGATTATACTCAGGTTCTATAGCTCCATCGGATACTGTCTGTAAGGAGGACCTTGTTCGGCTGTCTTACGTCACTTCCTGGTTAGAGCTCCAGAGAGCTTATCAGTTAAGATACTTCAGTGTGCATCACTAACAGAAACAAAACCAACTAATGAAATATACATTTTAAACCCATTTACGCTCTGTTGTCAAAATACATCCAGACATATTGTTAACAAAAGTATTAAATATGCAATAAGGTTTTTAACAGCGTGAAAATTATAAAGGATTTTCTTTTCCAAATACAAGTAAACTTGTTTAAATATAACACATAAACGAATGCCTTTCTCATGTACAATATTTGAAATACTAAATTTTTCATTTTTATTTTTCAAATAAACCACTTTATTTCCACACTGCAACCCCGGTCAGTGTACCCTTCATTGAAAAAAAACAACTGAACGAAGGGTACACTGGTCCAACGCCATCATGTGTGTCTGATTTCCCCTCGGTTCGTTTCGTTCTCGTCTCTTGAGGATGCCTGCTAGAAACCAGTCTTTTCAAAGCAAGAGTTTCTGGTCCACACAACAACAAAAGGTCGTTTCCTTTGTCACGCTGGCTGCAGTCCATTTTCCCGATGGTAGAGAACGAGCCGTTAAAAATTAACAATAAACTTAAACTTCTATATTCTGACATTGTAGACGTGTTTATGACATTTATTTAAGAAATAAAGAAAGCGAATAAGTGTGTATTGAATAAAAATGTAGAACTGTTGATTTGTTTGAACACCGTGCTTTTATTTTGAAGGGCCGAGGGGAGGATGTTACCGAACTGCGTTTCCGGTGTTTCTGATTCATCTAGTTTTGTTGCTAATGCTTCCCGAAACATGGAGTTAACTGGTAAAGACAACCAAAATGTTCTACTAGAGGCTCGTAAAAACGGGAAGGAGGAAACTGAAGACAGTCGGTACTGTACTCAAATTATATTTCTTGTTGACAGCGTAATATTTGATGACATCATCATCATTAGCAGAAGAGTCAAGTTTACTTTGAACTTCTGAAGATAACTTTTGTCAGTCGATTTCATGAAGAGCTGTGCAACTGAAACAAACTTGCTAAAAATGATTAAGTTTCTAGATTGTTTGAAGATACGTTTTTTTTTGTTTGTTTGGACCATGCAGTGCTGAACGAAGAGCGTTCAGAAAGTGGACAGGTTTGAATGAACCTGTCTAGATTCTCGTCGGCCATGTTTAAAAAAAAATAGTGTTCTCGATTTTTTGTGATCATTCAAATTTCGATAGATATTGAACTTAAATTTGGTGTGTTGGTATCCCCAATTAGACTCTGAGAGCTAACTGATGGAACAAGAGTTTTTTTTTTTTTAAACTTTATCTGTATTGTCTATGTCTGTTAACAAAATATCTACTGAGTCACTGGATGGATTTTATTGAAACTTCCAGGAAATAAACATTGGCTCTAAATCTACAACTGGTTAATTTTTGGTGGCAACCCAAACTAAGATGGCCACAATAGCTAATCAACATTAGGCAACTTAAAAATGGTTATAGCATAGTCAGTTTTACAGTTAAACTCTTAATGTGGTAGTAGCTGAGAGTTTTTCCACAACATATATTTGAGAGAGAGACATCTTGCCCTGTCACATAAGATTGTGCATCATGTTGTGGTTCGAGGTTTGTCTGAACCAGTTTCAACTGTGCCATTTGTCGTCACATGATGATCCTATAGAAGCCGTTTTGCAGCGTTGTGGTCCTGTTTGGGTGCGCCAGGTGTGTGACTTGAATGACTGTGACAATGGGTTGTGAAGATTGCTGTGCAGTGTACATGTGCAACAATGATCACAGATTCAAGAACAAGTGAAAATATATGGAATGATGAAAACTTCTGATAGTCACAACAAAGTTCTTGTAGTACAGGTCTGTTAGAGGTCTAGTATTATATTATCAGAGAGTCAGAGAGATTTATTTGTCATACACACCACATGTGGTACATGAGGTGGGATGAAACAATGTACACAGGGTTCCAGTTAAATAAATAAATAAATAAAATAAAGTGCTATGTGTTGTTGTCATCATTGTATGTTCCCATACAAATACAAAATTAGTTCTCTGCATTTAACCCATCACACCTGGGATACACCCAGGTGGAGCAGTGGGCAGCTATGTAAGCGCTTGGGGAGCAATTCAGGATTAGGTGTCCTGTTCAGAGACACCATGAGATGTGCAATGACTGGGGATCGAACCCAGAGCCTTCGGGTCCCGAAGGCTCTGTGCTTAAACCGTCTTGGCCCCTAATTCATTCAACCTTTAGGGTGCATTCACACCAGCCCTGTTTAGTCCGCTTTAATCGAACTCTAGCTCATTTTCCTAGAAAGTCCGGTTCGTTTAGAGAGGTGTGAACGTGCCATCGAACTTTGTCACGGAACAAAAAGGCGAACTCTGGCCCGGGCTGAAACCTAGGTCTCGGTCCAGTAGAAGAGAACTCCAATGCGTTTCGAGTACAGTGTGAATGTAAACAGACCGGGCCCCGCTCCACAAGCAAGAAGTGGAGTACAGCGCAGGGCAAACAAAAACAAACACACATTTCTCTGACCTTATATGAAGCCGTCAGCTGACTTGTGTGAAAAACGATATTCTTCATGGTCTTCTGTCTCATCTTCTGCTCGTGCTGAGTCCATTTTTGAAAAATGACAAAATATAACTCCTAAAATTGCTAAAACTTGATGCCACTCCGTTTTTGTTTTTATTTCCAGAAGAAGAATAAGAGTCTTCTTCAGAGGTTTTTGTGTCGTTTCTTTCAGTAGTTCTTGGTGTAGCGCCCCCACAGGTGAGCGGGGGAACAGGTTGGTTCAACAGGTTGGCTCGACTGCACAGTGCAGTGTGAATGCAAACGCACCAGCTCAAATGTAAACAAAAGCTCATGAATATTGGTCCCCAACCGAACCGAGTCTACCGGACTATCAGGTGTGAAAACGACCTTAGACAAGTTAATCCCATTGAGCCTCGAGGACTTATTTACAAGAGAGACCTGATTTCAACAAAGTATGATGACAACAATAGACAAAAGAGGCATACAGATTTTTTTTTTAATAAATCCAATAAAAACACAAATTGTAAAGAAAAATATTAGTAAGATCTGAGTCATGAACTAAGAATACACTAAGCACCAACAGCACAAAAACAATGCGCCAAAACAACAGCAGCACGAACACGAGTCCACACGAACAGATGAGAGCCAATGAACACAGCAACACAAATTTTTTACAGTGATTTTTTTCAGTGATTTTTTTCACAGTGATAATCTTGACTTGAGATTCATGAGTCTAAAGGGTCCAATATACTCCCGCGTACATCTGTTCACACGTATGTACACGTGTACTGTACGCAGAGGGTTCAGACTTCATACCCGAGCGTACAACCTGAGCAGCTGCAGAGCAGCTTCACAGACAAGGGGCGTTTACCTTTGGGACGAATTGAGGTCGCCGATTGGTTATTTGCTGACACGCCTACTGGATTAATTGACAGTCGGAATAAAAAAAAAAAAAGAGCGCTGGCACCTCAGCCGCAGCGGTGTTCTGTGTTTATATGTTGTTAATAAAAAGATCTAAAAAAAAAAAAACGGGGAGCGCTGGCCCTGCAGCCCACACATCAGACCAGCCCACCAGGAAATCTCCAGACCCTCCCGCAGCCACGCTGGACCTGAGTTTAATTTGCTCGTGATAAATTCCTTAATTTCTCACCATTTCAGTCATGGCATCAACGGAGGAGGAAGAGATCACTGCCTCTTGGCAAAAAAAACTAAAGAAAAGGCCAGATCAGAGATGAAGACAGGGAATTTAATACATTGGTGTTGCATACAAAACAGTCCGTCGCTGGGCAGTTTATTGTGCGACACCACGTACGCGTATGCAGTCGTAAAAATTGAGCTTTGCACAGACATGCCCTGGGGGGTACGCTCGTACCTCCGCGTATGGACGTACGCGGGAGTATACTGGGGGCTTAACAGCCTCAGGGTAGAAGCTGTTCCTCAGCCTAGTGGTTCTACACTTAATGCTCCTTAACCTCCTTCCTGAGGGGAGCGGGGCAAAAAGTGTGTGTGCTGGGTGAGTGGGGTCCTTCATGATGCAGGTGGCCCTCTTCCTGCATCTGGAGGTGTAGATGTCTGTGATGGTGGGGAGACTGACTCCAACATCTTCTGTGCAGCCTTCACCACTCTCTGCAAAGCTTTTCTTTCTGCAGCTGTGCAGCCTCCATGCCACACGTTGATGTTGGAGCACAGGATGCTCTCCACTGCACACCTGTAGAAAATAAACCCACTGCAGCAGTCAATTCTAATTAGACATTCACCATATGTGACCAACTGTTTAAAAATAGGGAAGGGTGTTTCTTTATTTAATTTATATTTATGTAACACACTTGATAACTTTATGGTGAATAGTGGAGGATAGAAAATGTGAACACACATTAGGAAGACTAACAACAAAAAAGGTTAAAGCATTTCATCTGGACATTTTCTGTGTTAGGAAGACTGTTTTTATGACCAGAGCACCACTTGTAAACCTAGTGTGTAACTAGGTATAGTGGATCTGATTAGCTTAGCTTCATGGTTGCTAACAGCTGCGCTAAATAAACAAGCCCTGCTCCACTCACTGTTTACAGTACTTAGATTTATGGGGTGGACAAAGCTCAGAAATTTTCAGCCATTATATCGATATCGGCGATGGCCACAATTTCCAAATCGGTCGGGCTCTAATTAGAAGTCTAGTATTGTAGTATAGGTCTAGTGCTAAATATGTTGAAGTGATTTATAGCAGGGTGGCTCAGTTGGTAGTGCTGTTGCCTCTCAGCAAGAAGGTTGCCAGTTCAAATCCCAGCTTGGTACCTTTCTGGTGGAGTTTACATGTTCTCTCTGTTCATATGTGTGTTTTCTCCGGGTACTCCAGTTTCCTTCCACAAACTAAAAACATGCATTTTTGATTGGTAAATTGTCCCTAGGTGTGAGTGAGTGTGTAAATGTTTGTTTGTCTCTGTGTCCCTATAATGGACTGGAGACCTGTCTAGGGTGTCCCCTGCCTCTCACACAGTGACTGTTGGATATGGACACCACTGACCCCCCGTGAATCAAAAAGGAAGAATTGAGTAAAAGGTAATTGATGGATGGATGCAGCGATCTTGGCCATGTATCAAATCTGCCCGCCCAGCAGTCGTTTTGGCCACTTAATGACGCACGCATGCACACACACACAGTTGTTTATAGCCTGTCACTGAAAGCATAGAAATAGTCAACCAGCAGTCATATCTGGTATCCCTCTTTACCCCATGAAGGTGGTGATTACTTTCTTATTTCAATAAGTGATGCTGAAAGCCTGAACCCATCTATACATTGTTAATAACATACACTGATTAAAAGGTTACTGACCACAAAAAAATGCATTTACCACCATTATAACAAAAACACATGTATTTACAAATTAATATTCATGTCAAATATGATTTGACCCATCCAAGAAGGACATTTTATACTCAGCATTTATAGAAATATAGGCAGGCCTGCATCATGATTGATGTAGAATAGTCATTTTAGGCTTCCATTCCAACATACAAGCAGCATAACTACTCTTGACAAGTATGTCCTGTCTCAGATTCAGTATAGGTACATCACGAACCAACAAAAACTCTTTAAGCTGCTCAACTGTACAATTTTCTAAATTTGATAAAGTGTCCATCATTGACTTCACTCTCAGTTGCCCCCAAACAATTCGTATTCAGTAGGTGGTGCTAAACAAAGATGGCATTATCTGCAAAACGTCTCATGGGGGCGGCTGTGGCTGAGTGGTTAGAGCAGTCGTCCTCCAATGAAAGAGTTGGGGGTTCGATTCCACCAGCAGTCACGGGTTCAACTACCCACCATGCCCATGTTGAGCAAAACACTTATTCCCTAACTTCAGTCTTCAATAGCTGCCCGCTGCTCCACCTGGGTGTATCGTGTGTGTGATGGGTTAAATGCAGAGAACATACGATGAGAATACATGGCACTTTCTTTCTAATTTTAAACTCGTATCATGAAAGGTGGCAGCCCATGTGCAGTCTTTCAAGAAAGACTTTTCATTTTGTTTATCTTCTGAAAATAAAATCTCACTTCCAGTTTGGAGTCTTGTTTGGACCAACCTTTGGAATCGAGCATTCTGGAGGTCATCAAGTATACACCACCTGTTCTGCCTGGTTAGTCAGCAGTAATTGTAAAATGGGAACAGTTTCTGTTGATACGTTTTGTCCTGCTTATTCTTTTTATGCCTCGTTTCAGCTAAACATTATGATGAGGAGACCACCGAACCAATCAGCTATGGTATTTGCTCACTGGAGAAGTTGTTGTCCTGGAGTCGAAACGAGGCAAACCCCTTCAATGTGGCTGTAGCTCCGCTGGCTCCTCGCGTGCCTCGTCTGGCCAACTGTCTGCACCGCACATTGGTGTCTCATGATATGATGGGTGGCTACCTAGATGACAGGTTTATCATTCATTAATAAATAATTCCCTTCTTGTTCTTCTCATATTAAACTTTTTTTTCTTGTATGTACCTTCATGTTTATGTAGCGTAACTAATTTAATACTTTTTTGTCTTTTTCAGGTTTATCCAGGGCACAAATGCAGACAACCCATATGCCTTCTATCACTGGCAGTACATAGATGTTTTCAACTACTTCACACATCAGTTGGTCACTATTCCTCCTGTCGTATGGACCAATGCTGCTCATAAACATGGAGTCCTTGTTATTGGTGAGCTAAAAGCAGCAGTATCAAAGG